CCCGGACCCATGGCCTCAGGAGGAGAAGCAGGTAGCCTTCTTTCTGTCTTGCTAACAAGTCCCTCCCTGGCAGACCGCCACCTCCTGGTTTTTGCTCACAGCTCCCTGAAGCTCCCGCTCCGCAGGGATGGTAAGTAGCGTGTAATGAAATGAGCGCTCACTCTGAGTCGCAGGCCATAGGAGGGAAGGTTACAGGGAAGCCAGCGCTGGGCCTCCGAGTTGGCGGTGGCAGACCTGTCCCCAGGAGAGTGCTGAGAACGAGTCCCTCTCCTTTTCCGTGCAGTTTGCGTCTGCAAGCAGTAGTTTGCGCAAATTGCATAAGCATTTCCCTTAGCCGTGCCCTGACATTCTTCAGGAGTTCTTTGCAGTTGAAAAATACTTGCTTTTCCAGTAAATGTTTGCAAAATGGAAATATTTGCTTCCCGAGTAGCAACGAGACCATTGCTTAGGCATCATAAGTGCAAGATCCATAGCTGCAAATAATTCCAAAATAGGGCTCAGTAGCCGCCCATATTTGGACTGGTCTAAATTATGGTTCATTATTTGGACTAGTCTAATTTGCACTAGTCGATTCCCTCTGAGTTGTTCAAGAGAGATAGCCCATTCATACCTGGAGTTTTCCCAATGTACTCTACTGCTATTTCTTCCTCCAACACTTTCCTTCTGTGCCCCTCGAAGAAATTTTAGCACCTGCAGGACTGATGGCCTGGTCTTGCAGGCAGGTGACTTGGTAGAGAAGTTAAGGTTGAGGGTGGTGCTAGGTTGGCACTAAGTGTAAATCGATGGTGGGGTTTATGGATGGGGAGCTACAGGAGCTCGCCCCCTCAGTGGCTCTAGTCATCTCTGGTATCCCATGCTAGGGCACATCCCTCCTGCTTTCTGCAGAATAGGTAGTAGAAAGAAGGAACGGGGAGACTTTGTTCCACCAAGACAGTTGCTCTGTCTTTAAGTGGGGAGAACGAAACTCCATGTTTGAAGACATGAAAGGTAAGGAGCTCTTTTTTTTTTTTTCATACCCTTTGATTCCTTCAGCCAGTCAAAAGATTTTTCAATTGAAATCCAAAGTGAATCTTTCCTTTAGAACCGAGAGACCTCCCAACATATAGGCCACTCGGTCCCTCTGTTGTCCCGCCTGGAATTGGGATTGCATGAGGCAGAGACCCAGTGCCCTGTCTAAGGTGGGACAGAGGACTAAAGCTAGGAGTTAGATTCTTTCAAGAATAGCTAGGCCTCACTCCGATCCCCTCCCCACTACCCTGACACGTTCACAATCAGACGCGCAGTCTCTGCTCAACACCTCGGGGCCTGCCTGCTAGGCAAGGTCCTCTGCCTGGAGAGCAACAGTTCCCCAGTGCTATCTGAGCACATTCCAGCAGCACGTGTTTATCTCCAGGGTCAGCCTTTCCTGTTGATGCTCTGGAGGTGTGTGTGGGGGGTGGCGGAGAGGGGGATTGGGATAATGGCTGTTGGCAGGCACAGGGCATGGAGGCAGGAGGGCAGTGGTGATACAGACCCCACTCTGGGGAGGGGGGTGTTATGATGAGGTTCCCAGACTGTGTGTGGCCACGTATGTCTTTCCTCACATTGGTATGAGCTCCTTGGCTCTTCTACTGCTAGGGGAGAGGAGCACTGCCTCACCCAGGGATGCATCTTCCAGAGCTGGCTAGGACGCAGTGGGTGGGGACCTCCAGGTGGGGGCCACAGGATATGGAGCCAGGAGAACAGCAGTGTTTCCATTGTTTCGCTTAGGATGTGAGCTCTGTTGGGACACAACTGGTTCTGCCTCTCCCTGTGAGCTCAGTCATTGCTGCCAGGACCTCCAGGCTTTGGCAATGGGACAGAGGAGGCCACCCTCCCTGACTAGGCTGGGCAAACCCCATGAGTCTGACACCCTTAAGACACCGGTTTCCAGGAGCTGCACCCTCTCTCTCAGGAGAAGTACTCACCACACACCGATCCCCACTAGCAGGGGGCAAATGCCGAGCTGCCTTTCTGGAGGGCTCCACCCCAGCACTGGATGGCTTTGAGAAAGTAAGTTCACAGCCTATCTCAGACCTTTGAGATACTCTTTCATTTTCAAATGAGATAATCTCATCCTCCCTCCAGGCTGAGTTTCGGGGTGCAGGAGAGAGGAGTTTGAACTATTTGAGTCTTCTTTAACAAAAATGAATCATGTCCCCTGCCCCCCATCCTCAGCCTAGGAATATTTACCCATGTTTATATAACTATGGCAACAGGCTTTATCCTCCACCACTTAAACCCTTATAAAAAAAGAGGAGAAGAAGAAGAAGAAGAACAAGGAAAAATGGAAGCAGCAGTCCTTTTTTCTGCCCCGGCCTGAGCTGTCTCTTCAGAAGCAAGGTAAGAGAGCCCCACACACCCTGGTGCAGTGTCGGCCTTCTCAAGGGCAAGTCGGCAATGGTCCAACATCGTGAAAGGACTTAAGAGTCTGACAGCCATTTTCTTCCAAAATCCTGTGGGAACCACACAGTAATAGCACCTCTGACTTGTCTGGGACCTCTCTTTGGAGTACTGCACTGAGATTATGGTCATCAACTTTTTTTTCTTGCCATCTCCTTGACTTTAAAAGTAGATGGATTTCGTAATGTATATAATTGTCATATACCTGAAACTAGCATATTATATGTCAACTATACTTCAATTAGAAATTAAAGTGGATAGAATGCAGTCTGGCTTTGCTAACAATATAGTCTTCATCTCCGAGATGGATTCCTCTTGTCCTGACTGCATCACAGATCATTGTCAAAATAGAGTTTCTTAAGAGTTTCGTAAGGAATAGAAAAGTGTTAGGCTCACATAGGTTTAACTATACAAGGGAAGCTGAGGCCAGTAAAAGGAAAGCATTTGTGCAAGTCAGACTGTGCTGTCAGCAAGCTAGGGGTGCTAACCATTTAGTCTAAGGTTCTTACCAGGAGATCAGCCTGCATCTCTTGGAGTGTGAAGTACGGCCATCCTCTTAACTTCCAAGAGGATTCCAGTCCAGGAGCTCTCAGGATGGCAAAACTGGGGCTTAAACTTGACTCCAAAAACTATTTCAACCATAGACCCACTGTTTACTCACTGCCTTCTATAGCCGCCACTGCTGGGTGCTGGAGCTCTAAGAGTGAGCAAGGCCTGCAGGGGTGGAAACCCTTTGGTGGTGTTTCTCCCAGTGTAAGATTATGTGTGGGTTATGATAGTGGCCAGGGGCCCCTTTCTATCCCAATCCCAGAAGATTCAACTCCAGAAAGGGTTCAGTCAGTCTGGGGACAGCAGCTGCGTCCTTGGGGGTGGCTCCCACTGTGAACAGGCCTGGGGTACACAGAAAGGCCCCCCTTGGGGATCTCGGGCTCCCAACTGCAAGGAAGCCTGCTGGCCAAGCACAGCGCCTCACGTGGACCGGCGGGGCCGCATTGGCCCCGGTAACCTACCAACCTGGAGAGCAGAAGGAAATGTGATGTCAGGCTAAGCAGCTTGGGAACGCCAAAGCAGATTCTCAGCTCCATCCTGGGGCCCTCAGGTTTTCCGACTGACAGGGGATCCTGAGCAGGGACCGCGAAGGGAGCGCTGGTCCCTGGGCTTGGCAAGGAGCCACGGAGACAGAGACTTCGGACCGAGTTCCGACCCACCTACGCCTCTTCTTTCTTTTCTGGAACCATCTGCTACCGCTGCTGCAGCTTCATCCAAAGGGGGCGGGTGGGGGGGGGCTCAGTTCTAGGCCGAAAGATAGGGGCAAGGTCCCCTGTAACTGAGGACCCAGGGTTAAGTGAAGGCATCCAAATGGACTCTGCAAAGTCTTCATTTCTGAAGATGTTCATTTTTATCCTCCCTGCCTCTACCCGTCCCCCCCACCCCCACCCCCCCCCGCAGGAGTGGCAGTCTTTGCTGACCATGATGGGAATGACTGCAGCGCCTGCATTCTTTGCCCCTTCTCCCACGTCTGCACGGTTCTGTCACAGAGACCCCAGATTCTGCCTGGGGCAAACTTTCTCCCGTTAATTATCTTGAAATAACATGTCGCTAATTACCCTATTTACTCTGGGGTCCTGCAACACCGCACCCCCCCCCCACAGGCCGGGGCGGGTGGCGCGGAGCCTGGGCCCCGGGAGTGACCCACAATCTGGCCGCGCGCGGAGGCTGGCGTGGCGGGTCCGGAGCTCCGCGGGGAGGGGCGCCCGGCCGGCTTGCGGCCCCTCTTAGGTCCACCTGCCCCAGCTCCGGCCCGGGCTCGGGCCGTGTGCATTGACTAGAATCCGAGCAACTTTGAGGCCCCCTCCCTTGAGCAAGAGTTAGGATAACTGACACTGGGGGAGTACTGGGGAAGAGAGGGGCTATTCCTCCACTCCCTGCCCACCCTGTTGAAAGCAGCCCCATCCCATGACCCTGTTTGCTGTTTTCACGAAGAATCACTACCTGAAATCACCGTGTTTGTTTATTTTAACCTGTCTCATCCCTCCCCTTCCCCGCCCCCATGCACGTTCTTGAGAGCAGAGACCTTGCCTGTCTTAATTCTGTCCCCCCAGATTTACACCCTTGCGGGGAGTACAGCAGAGCCTCTGCTACGGTTCTGTGTTAAATAAGTGAAGTGGCTCCTCACCTCCACCGGTGAGGAGTGGGCTGGGGGGGGTACCCTACACCTTGGAGGTGAAGTAGACCCACACTTCAGGCTTCCAGCACACTTCCAGAGTTCAAAAGAGCTGTTGATTGGCTGCTTGGTGGAGGATGTTCCTTTTCTGATCCGAGTTTGGGAAACAGGGTTGAAAGAAACTAAGGCACTCGGCCTCTTCCTGAGACCACTACCCAGTGCCCGCCCGTAAGACGCTGCTCTCTCTTTATGACCAAGCGGGGATCACGTGCTCTGTTGGGGGACGTCGGTACAGTCTGGCGTCACCATACCCCCGGCCCCCCTGCGAGGACCAGGTGTCGCCCGGCCAGCCCCCAGTCGCCGCTGCCCCAGCCCTGTGCCACCCCCCGCGGCAGGGTCCACTCGCCGCAGCCCAGCCCGCGCCCCTCGGTGCGCCCGTCTCATTGGCTGAAGGCAACCCCCCTGAATTCTCATAGGCTGTCCCACTTTTCCTCCGCCCCCCGCACGGACAGCGCGCCGCGAGAGCCAGGGAAGCTGCTCTAAGTCCGGGCCTGGGAGCCGTGGCTCGGCTCGCCGCTGCGAGAGGAGCGGAGCGCGGGGCCGGGGGCCGCTGTTCCCACCCGGGGACGCTCTTGCGGAGCCGAGCCCGGCAAATGGGCGCACGAGGAAGAGAGCAGGGAAATGGACTGCTATTTGCGCCGCCTCAAACAAGAGCTGGTAAGAGCGGAGCGGGCGCCAGGGGCGCGGAGGACTGCTCCGCCCGGACGGCACCTGGCCCCCGCCGCGGGCCGGGGAGCGGGGAGTGCGCGGCCGGAGGAAGGCCAGAGACGAGGGGACGGGCAGGCAGAGGGCAGGGCCTGGCCCGAGGGAAAGGGCCGCGAGGAAACTTGGAGCAAAGATTTGTGAGAGTGAGGCAGACACGAGCAAGTGACGGAGACCGAGCAACCCAAACCCGGACTGAAATGCGCCCAGAGAAGGCGCCGGACACACGGGGGCACACTCCCAGACGGGGCGCCGGGAGCAGGGCCGGGCGCGCGGGCCGGAGGGCAGCCGGGGACCGCTGGCTCGCGGGGAGCTGGCACTGCCTGAGGCCCCCAGCCCCGCCGGGCTTGGCAGAGCTGGCGCGGCTGCGGGGGCAGGCCGGGCCGGCTGTCTGCCCGGGCTTGTCTGCCAGCGGGGGGCCGGGGGGGGACTGGCAGCTGGAAGGGCGGGGGAGGGCCCCGCGCCCGAGGCGGGGCGCCGCCTGGCAGATCTCGAGCGGAGCTGCGGGGGCCCGGCCAGATGTCAGGGCCGGGCGTGGGGAGTGCGGAGGGAGCTTGCGGAGGCCAGGGGTGCAGGGGTCGGGAGAAGGAGCTCCGTCTGGGATCCGGGCATCACCCAAGTGGGGGAGGGAAGGGTGCCCCCAAAGCTCCGTTAGGTTGATTCTCACCGACTTCATATACCACCCCCTCCCGCACACACACCTGCCACCTTTCTGGTTCCCGCAACCACCCGAATTCACACAGATAAGCGCGCCCCGCCCCACCTTGGCCCCCAGGCCCGCCTTTCTCTCAATCCGACTCCCTCCTGTGCCTTTGCCTCTGCCTCTTTTAGTTCCTTTTAGTTTCCCTCGGAGTGGACCTCTCCTTGGTCTCACTTTTCTCCCCTCTTCTTTCTTCCTACTTTCAAGAGCCAGGGGCACCCAGGCTCTCAACAGCAGACCTGGATCCATGGCTCTCCAGATTCCATGACAGCCTGTCCCGCTCCTGCAAACTCTACACTTCCCCCCCACCCCCACCCCTCCAAACTTGGCAGCTGCATCTGGGGCCAGTTTTGGGGGAGGGCAGCTTGCAGAGCAGGTGTTCTCACTGATGCTTCCTGGTCAAGGCTCCCAAGCACTCTTCCTGTCTGTTCCACTCCAGCGTCTGTTTCTCAGGTCAATGGTCACTTCTCTGGGACTTCCTCTTCAAGCCCCTTTTGTGGTGACACTCAGATGGGAAAGTTACCCAGAGAAATGCTGCCTAGGTGAGGGACAGAGAAGTCGCCACTGTGTCCCTTCCCATGCTAGTTTTCCCCGGCTTCCCATGTCAGTTTGGGATGGTCAGCCCCAGCCCACACATATACAATTCTGACTCTTCCCATTCATTTGTCCAATATCAGAAAGGTCAAGGTCATCACAGATCATGTCTGAAGTCCAAGGCCCATGCTGAGAAAAGAATCTAATAGAGTCCTCTTTTTATGCTTGGAATCTGGGACCACACCACCCACCTCAGGATCTGCCTTAATAGAGGGTTTGTGGGTGTTCCTGGCATAGGCTTGAATTTTAAAATCCTACTGATTTGCATTTTTTATAGCACCCTAGGTGGGAGGGGGTGAGGGGAGGAAGACAGTCTGTGGATGCCAGGAGAATAAAAAAGGCAAATAAGAATCTGCACTGAACTGAGCTCCAGGTCTTGATTTGCACCCTCTCCTGCCAAGGACTTGAGCCCCCAGTCCCTGAGAGGAGGAAGGGGAGAGGCTGAAGTCACTGAGCTCCCCATTAGCTTTCATTGGCCCTTTGTCTGAGCAGCTTCAGCCTTTGACTCTCTCGGAGAGGAAGCCAAATGCCTGGCCTGGGGCCCAGAATGACACTCAGATGGGAGAGCTCTGCAGCCTCCCCCTCCCCCACCCCCACCCCCAGGGTGCCCCGCCTCCTCCCCCTCCTCCCCTGTGCCAGGCTGCCCAGAAATGAGACAGAGCAGAGTGACAGGCAGAAGCATTAGAGTCTCCTTTACTCTCCAACACCTCAGCCCGGTGCTTAGGTAGCTGAACCAAACCTCAGGGCCTCAGTTTTCCCAATGGGAATGAAGAAGAAAGTAGAGCTGAGTTAGCCCAGGCTCAGTCCTTTGGCTCCTCTAAGGACTGTGCGGATTGACTTCAGTGCAACATGGTTGTGACTAGGATGGGGAGAGTTCATTTGTTTATACCCCAGGTCTGCAATGGGGTACAAAAGGCATACGGTAGTCTTACGTCATGAGCTTGTGAGGGTGGGGGCAGGCGGTGGGGCTTGTGTGTTTATCCCAGGCAGAATCTTCCCTGCCACCGAGGGGGACTGTGTGTTGCCTGGCTTTGCCTTAAGTTAGCATGTGCTCAGGAATGGCACGCATGTAATACTAGTCACGTTCTACATTCATTTATGCCACCAAATCCCTTCAAGAAGCCTGTGTCCTACAGACACTGGGTTAACCTGCTGGAAAAGGAAACGTTAACAGGTCATGACATTATTTTTGTCAGGGGTGTTCTGTGTCCCCTCCTGCATTCTGGCCCTACTCTAAAAGTCAAAGGAGGCCCAGAAGATCTAGACAAGAAGAGCATGCTCCTGAAAACCAAAGTGGCAGAATTTCTCAATTTCTCGGAGCAGAAAACTTGCTCTCTAACAAGTGAGCCCTGCGGGGAGGCCAAGGGTTTGGGGATCCTGGCTCAGTTAGATTGATGCCTAGAGGCCTGGCCCTTTCCCCCTGCCTGGAAGGAGACCAGGATCCGTTTCGGGGATGAAATGGGGCAGGAAAGTAGCCACAGCTGACACACTTCTTCATTAGGATGAGGGGGTCAGGGCTGCCACAGCTCAGCAGGGAACATCTCTCTCTCCCCTCCAGCCACTGGAGAGGGGCCCTGCACGAACACAAGGCCTTGGGACCAGCTGTTCTTACACACCGCTCCCTTGAGGGCTTCCAACAAATGGGGTAGACACAGGAACACAGAGAAAGCAGATGTAAGATGCTCACAGCGTGTTCCTCATGAGTCAGTACCAGTGTAGAGCAAATAGAGTGTACAGAGGCTGAGCGATAGGGGCTCAGGAAGTCCAGCCAGGCAGGAAGGCTTCCTGGAGGAAGAGGAGGTTGATAGAGGCCAGCTCCTGGAATGCCTGTCCTAGCTGAGGCATGATGAAGCAGCAGAGGGACTTCTCTGGGGCTGGAGAAGGGCCTTCTAGGACCACTCCGTATTTCTAGAAGGAAGTTATCTAGCCACTAGTGGCCACAAGTTCAAGAGGTTCTGACATGTGGAGGAGGACCAGAGCCTAAAGGCAAGATAAGGACAAAAGAAGGTGATGGAAGAGATAAGAGTAGGAACAGCCTGCAACTCTAGGGACCAAAGAGCAAATTTCCTGAGGTAGAAAAAAGCTTTTACCAAGGATCTCCTAATGTGGCCTCCTTTGACTTTTAGAGCTAGGGTGAAGAACGGGGTAGGGTCAGTGAGGGAGGAGTGTGAACTGTGGGACTTGGGGGCAGGCCAGCTTGAACTCAAATCCTGGCTCTGTGTGACCCAGGCAGATTACTTAACCCCCCTGTGCCTTGGTTTTCTCATCTGCAAAGCGGGTTTTTTAAATTTTAAAACAATTTTTTAAAGATTTTTATTTATTTATTTGAGAGAGAGAGAGAAAGCACTAGCTGGCAGAGGGAGAAGTAGGCTCCATGCTGAGCAGGGAACCCAACACGGGACTGGATCCCAGGACCCTGGGATCATGACCTGAGCCAAAGGCAGACACTTAACCCACTGAGCCACCCAGGCGCCCCTAAAACAGGGTTTTTAAAATACCTACTTTAGGGGCGCCTGGGTGGCTCAGTTGGTTAAGCGACTGCCTTCGGCTCAGGTCATGATCCTGGAGTCCCGGGATCGAGTCCCACATCGGGCTCCCTGCTCAGCGGGGAGTCTGCTTCTCCCTCTGACCCTCCTCCCTCTCATGCTCTCTGTCTCTCATTCTCTCTCTCACAAATAAAAATAAAAAAATAAATAAAAATAAATCTAAAATAAAATACCTACTTTATACAGCCACTGTGAAGATTAAATGGCAGCTGTCTGTCCTTAGCCTGTATCACTGTGCCCGGTGACCTCCTGACGGATGGATCAGGCTGATATGCATGAGTCATTCATTCACAGGACACATTAACGGAGTTCATCCGATGTTTAAAGCACCTGACCAGACACGAGCACTGTGGTTACAAATACAAACAGACACAGAGCCTGCCTTTGGGGGAACCCCCCTGTTCAATAGGGGAGGTAATAATAATAACAGTTATTGGGCGCCTGGGGGGCTCAGTCGTTAAGCGTCTGCCTTCGGCTCAGGTCATGATCCCAGGGTCCTGGGATCGAGCCCCGCATCGGGCTCCCTGCTCCGCGGGAAGCCTGCTTCTCCCTCTCCCACTCCCCCTGCTCGTGTTCCCTCTCTCGCTGTGTCTCTCTCTGTCAAATAAATAAATAAAATCTTAAAAAAAAATTTATTGATGTTAACACCGATATGTCAGGCATATAATGGATTATGTCATTTAATTGCCAAAGCAACTCGAAGTTGTACTTCCCTTATTCCCATTCTATAAATGAGACATGGGGAGGTTAAGTGAGTTGGCCAAGGTCATAGAACTGGTAAGTGGAAGAGCGGGGCTTCAAACCCAGCCAGTCTGACTGCAGAACTTACACTCTTAACCAGTACATGTAGTCATATGTCCGGTATAGAAATAGAGGGTGCATGCTACATAGAGGGGGAATTAGCTCCAGCCGGGGGATCAGGGAAAACTCCGTGGAGAGGTAGCATTTGCGCTTGACCTTGAGGGATCAGCAGGGAGGTGACCAGGAGAAAAACAGCATTCCAGGCAGATAATGAAGCAACAGGAGCGGAAGGCACCGAGATGGAAGCAGAGGGGATGTTTGAAGACTACAGGAGCTTGGCTAGGATATAGGGTATGTGCAGAGGAATAGTGAGC